AACAACAACAACAACAACAACAACAGCAACAACAACAACAACAACAGCAACAACAGCAACAACAACAACAACAACAACATCAACAACAACAACAACAACATCAACAGCAACAACAACAGCAACAAAAACAACAGCAACAACTTCGAACTAAACTTATAAATTGTTCACTTCGTAGTCGTGATATTAAATATGTCATCGACCCTTCTCGAATCGACTGTGTCGGTTGATGAAAATAATGATGATTTCCTAGGGGATACTCTACCGCCTTTTGCTAACGAGGAAATCAAAGAGAAATTCAAACAACTCAAGGTAGGTTCAATTTTTTTTGGATAACTTTGATAAAATTTCAAGTTTTTGGTTTTTTTTCTCTCATTCCGATCAATATTATTAACATTGTAGTTTCACCCTAGTGATGTGAAAAACACCAGTGAAAAATATATTTCACTACTACTTTTTCACAGAGTATTACGCCACTTCACGTAAAACGGGTGAAACTCCATTGATAAAAAATTGAGTCGGCAGTCGCTCGGAAATTTCTGAACTAAAGGGTTTCTTTACGCTAATACTCCTAAGTTGGATTTTATTGATTATAGTATCTTTTTGGGGAAAATACGTAAAGTTGAAAATATAAAAAATGAATTTGACTACCAAATTTTTTCAGTTTTATTCGAGAAATTTAGACGAAAAAATCCTTTTAGTGATGCTCATGAAAATATCGGTGGAATTTGATTCAGGCCCGCGATCGTAAATGCGAAGAGCTGGAGACAGCTGCGGTTGAGGAAAGGGAGAGGATCAAGAATATGCAGGACCATCTAGTGAATGTGAGCTGCGCTTTGGTATTATTATCATCATACCGCTTTTACGTGAAGTGGCGTAAAACTCAGTGAAATATCCGATATTCGCGATGATATACAGTGGTTGTGAAATATGTTTGTCACTGGTGTTTTTCATATCACTAGGGTGATGAAATTCCACCGCTTTTGCGGTATAAGCGCATTTGTGAAGTGGCGTAAAACTCAGTGAAAAACCCGATATTCTGAAGTTTCGTTTTATTATCATTTTTTCTCTGATAATAGTACTATATATATATATGGACATTTTCAGTACGGACTTCATTCCTTAGTCAGTGTTGAAGTTAATCAGGAACTTAGGGAGAACTACATGTTTTGTTGGAAAAATGATAATTTTCCGGGGAATTTTTGTAAGTTTTTGTTGGTTTCTGAGCACTTCTACCCTAATTCGCGTGCAAATTTCCGTAATTAGTGAGAAAATTGCTGAGCTCAGCTGAGGAGTGTGAACATATATTCCTTCAGGACTGCAGTACCTAGTGAATGCCTAGTGAACTTCATCATCTTGCGTATGTAAAACACATATAGTCGACATAGTATTATCGTCCATATTTTATTATCATTTTTTGCTATTTTTTTCTTTTTTTTCTGTTTTTTTCTGTTTTTTCTGTTTTTTTTCAGTTTTTTCTGTTTTTTCTGTTGTTTCTATTTTTTTCTGTCATTTTCTGTTTTTTTCTGTTTTTTTCTTTTTTTTCTGTTTTTTCTGTTTTTTTCTGTTTTTTTCCATTTTTTTCTGTTTTTTTCTGGTAGAAAAAAAGAAATCATTTTGTTCGCTCCAGTTCATGGTTATTATAATGAAATTTTGATACTTTTTCTGCACTGTAAAATTTTGTTAATTTCACGTAGTAGAGTAATCGATCACGTGATTGATATTACAATATTTATCTAGCAGGTACAGAAAGAGATTAAAAACTCAGAGGCTCTGCTGGAGTTCAAACGGAAGGAGAAAGAGTCTAAGGAACATGTGAATTTCGTGGCGCGTGACGCTGACTACAAAGCTCATTTTAGTTGATGGCGTTGGATCAACGGCAAATCGGTCGGCTGGAAACAGACATTTTGAGAAATCGTAAAATCGCACAAGATCGCAAACGGATGATAAACGAGGCTCGAAATGCTGTTGAAATGTGATCTTTCATTAATGGCAATTTCGTGGCGCAGTGACGGTGTTATTACAGTGCAAATACGAAAGCAGATGAACTTCGGGCGGAACTAGAGTGGGGACAGGAAGAGCTTGAACAGTGGGTGATGGCAGCCAGGCAGAAGGAAGAGGATGAGATTCAGCTCGAGGAGTATAGGAGATCGGATGACATTAAAGTGAGGAAATTTTCGGGTGTACAGTGCGTGTCAATTT